CCCAGGTTCCCCCCCATGGCTGATCACTGAGCGGAGGGGGCGGTTCACCGCCAAGCACATGGGGGCCACCCCGCACTCCCGTGGGATGTTCCATCCACCCCAGCATCACAGTATTCACAAGCCATGCCTGGTACCTTTAGGTATTTTTTTAAACAAAAAAACAAAAACAACAACCCCCCCCATACATTTAAAGCTGTGTCTATGGCTGAATCGGTGATTCTCTGAATCAGCACTGAATCTTCAGATTTGGCCAAATCGAATCGGGGACAGTAATTTGATTCAGATCGCTATCCCCGATTCAGGCCGAATCGGAATCGAATACAGCCCGTTTCACACACCCCTAATTCCCAACTAAATTAATTCAAAACATCTGAAACTTGGGCTCTTAATTATGTTTTTAGGGAAGAGAGTTTAAGAAAATGCAAAGCAGCAGGTAGGTATGTCATATTCTAGGAAAAGATATGTTAGTGTGTCAGTGACCTGGACAATTCTTACCTGGTGTCTGTAGTTATACCAGCCATTTGACCCTGCTACAATAACAACCCAGTGCTTGCCTCCATCCTCTGGTTCTTCCAGGGGAAATGTGCTGATTCCCAGAATACAGCCTAGTAATACAGTTGCTTTCAAAACCATTCTCTTCCTTGTGTGCTTGAAGTCCAGAAACTAAGAAACAAGAAATTTGAAAAAGTAGGTTACAAGACAGTAATATAAAGTCATAATTGCAACTCTTTTGCATAAAAAAGTGATATAGGTAAGATTAAATTCCGGTTTGTGTCTTCAAATCAATAAACTGATACTAACAACAAAGATTTTTCAGACTTCCAAAAAAAAAAAAAAAAAAAAAAAATCAGCTAAAACTGATTTTGAATTCAGCCAAACAAAGTGAAGCCAAAAGACTTTCATTTTTGTAACACTTGTATACTGGTTATACTCACTCACTGAGCACGGATCCTAACTCTCCACATTTTATAACTCTAGATCTTGTGAAGTAAAATCCCATAGGATTCATTTTCCTAACCAACTGCAATTTGACTTTAGGTTCCTTCCTCAATCTCTGGTAATAATGGTTTCTCCTCAGTAAGCATGAGCCAAGAAAATCTTGGCTGTTGAGCAGTCCAACAGCTTTAAGTCTGAAAGTCAGTCCCTGGTAATATTGGTCAAGATGGCAGGCATCCCACTTGTGCTTCCTGCACAAAAGGGTTGCTCGGAAGCTCCAAATTAGAGCTGGGTAAAGAAAAGAGATTCTTAGTGCAGCCAGAGGATAATATCCTAGCTGTTTTTGTATGGCTGGAGTAATAACATTTCACCCTGTTCAAAGGATCCAAAAAAAAAAAAAAGAGAGGGAAAACAACAGGTATCAATTAGGCGGGTACAAAATGCTTCCAGGTTTAAAGGGAATACATTTCTTCTCACTCTGCACAAATGTAGATGAACACTAAACAGTCAGGCCTAGCATGTCCAACTTGGATAGAGCCACAGAAGCTTTACTGCTATTACCCAACAGTCTCTTCTACTTCCTTGCCATGTGTGAAGGTAAAGTCCCACTAGCAGTTACTAAAGAGGTTATTTTAAAAGACTCTCAATTCTGAAAAAAAATCTTTAAAAAGTAACACACATACTACACACTACAACCAGTCTGACTTATCCACCAAAGTTGTTTTGTCTGGATAGACTGGAGAAGTGGTCCAGATGAGATTCAAGATGGACAGGTGCAAAGTCTTGCACTTGGGACTGAATAACTGCATACACAAATATAGGCTGGAGAATAATGGCCTTAGCTGCAGTATTACAGAGGATTCGGGGTTTACAGTGGACCATAAGCTGAATATGAGCCAACAACATGCTTTTGCTGGGGGGAAAAAAAAATCCAACAGCATCCTCAGTTGTATTAACTTCCCCAAATGCAAGGGGAGAGATTCTTCTGCTCTATTCAGCACTGGTGAGGCCTTACCTGTAGTACTGTTTCCAGTTTTGGGCCCCACACTTCAAGAAAGACATGGGCAGTTGGAAAGACTCCAGTACAAGGCAACAAAAATGATTAGAGGCCTGGGAGGTAGGGAAATTTAGTCTGGAGATTAGGAAGAACTTTCTGACTACAAGGGTGATCAAGCACTGGAACAGACTACCTATAGAAGTTGTGGATTCTCTATGCTAAGAAACTTTCAAAAGCAGGTTAGATTGACACTTGGCTGGAATGGCTTAGTCAGGGATGATCCTGCCTTGAGCAGGGGGCTGGATTAGTTGACCCAGTGAGGTCCCTTCTAGTTCTACTTCCCTGCAAGTCTGTTTAATGACTTAATAAAGCAAGTGGTGTTCCCCAACAAACTGCTCGTTTTTGATGCAGGGTTGTTGGTTGCATGCCTTATTTCTGATGCAACACTCAAACCATAGAACAGCTCTCTCTAATACACAATGACCACGAGCTAACAAGAAAATCTTTTTATAATGATATAGTTGGCAAAGATTAACTTGATAGCCACCTATTACTGTAATGGTAAGAGGAGATAAGACTGGAACAATATGCTGTAGTATTAGGAAGTCATTTATGGGGTCAGACCATAGGTCCATCTAGTCCAGTATCCTGTCACAGTGAGAAAGTGGGTGCTAAGGGGAAGGGTTAACAGGGCATGTCCAGGAATGTTGATGCCCTACTCCTCTCCCACTGCAGCTTCATTGTTTGAAGAGCAAAAACTAGTGACTTGCAAAACCGTATTCCAATGCACAATGGGAGGTCAGTCATGCTTTTACCATACAAAAAAGCACAAAACAATTGACAAAAAGACAGCTTCAGCCACTTGCATCTGTCCACTCACTACTCAAAATCCCTCAAAACAGCAAGGTTGTTTCCTTCTGAAACTACTATGTATAATGAAGAATTTTAGCATGGCATGTAGCACAAGTCTTAACACTGGGTCTACCTGACACCAAGGATTCTGCAGTCAGTCAACAAGGTCAGAAATGTTCTGGACCAAAAATACAATACAGCTTTCAAAACAACCCCCCTCCCCCTTCTTTATGTAATTGGGTTGACAGGCATTAGGTACGAGGGATCATGTAAAATAATTCCCTATTAGAAAAGGAAATAATAGGGTGATGAGGGGAAAGGGAATCAAAGAGTGCTATGTCTTTGCCTTCTTCCTAAAGTTTCTTAAAATGTAAAAAACATGTTGTTCAGCTCTGCATGAGATAAATCAGTGCCATTACCACATAAAAAAAAAAAAATTGTGGTTTGAAAGTAAATGTGCAAAGCTTAACAATTCAGGATTTGCTACTCAATTCAATTGTATTAATTTCTGCTAATAAATTTAAAAATTAAAGAAAAAAAAAGTTTTACTTCCATCAGCATACAAGGAGGCTAGTAAGGGTATGTACCATGACATGCATGGTTCTTATTCCTATCTGGATGCAACAGAGGTAAAAAAAACCCAGCAAGTTGCCCATCTTGCCACTTCCTTTAAAACGTGTCAGATATATATCGCAACTTGCTCACTGTCCTCAAGATGCTTGCTTTCAGCATGTACAAGTACTAATTCTGCTGTGAGCAACAGGACTACAATGTCCAGGCCAAGACATTTATTTGTAAAATTCTGACACTTCTCATGCCCTCTGTTCTTACAATAAAAGATGTCCTCCCTGCCAATAATCAGAGAGATCAGAGAAAGGAATGGAATGTCTGAATGCAACCTGCTCCATCTTGTCAATTTAACAGAATTCAGTTTATTTCAATATTAGTACCTAAAAAGAAATGTTTAATCGGTTAGTGTGAAACTTAAGAGGAAACCTTTTGTTCCAAATTGTTTGCTGAAGTGGATTATTTAAAGAAGTCTGCTAAATCATTTCTCTTTGCAGTTCTCAAATAAAGAGAAAAGGGCTCTGCAGATCAGAAATGAGATACAGATCCTATCTCAGAATAATCAATTATTAAAGATGCAGGTTGTTAGTTCAGTTCCACGTATGCATACATGTTGTTTGCCATCTGACACTTGCTCGGTGGCTCACATAAAATGAGCTGGTGGAGCTCAGTCCAGGTTCTAATAGATAATAAGCGTCTGCACTATGAAACTCATCACTACAATTGGTACTAACTAGCAGTCTCAGGAGAGAAGTCAAACTTATGAAAAACAAATAAACTAAATTCTTCCCTTCCCCTTTGGGGTGAGAAGAAGGCAAAAGTTAGGTAAAATTTTTTAAAAAAAAGAAGACGACTACTGACCCGCCGCATGAGAAAAGAAAGCAGCACGTGACAAAAATAAGCGATGTCTAGGCCACAGATTCCAAGAGAAATGGAAGACCAACTTTCAAAAATTCTTCTAGTTTGTTTTATATTCGGAACTGCAGTTCTATACATTTTTATCTTCAATTCCCAACATTTTACTTTGCTGTTTCTAATGTTGCATGCACCAGGAGTTTTGTTACACAAGATATACATGATCTGTATCTGAAAGAGTTTAAAATTCACACAAAGTTCAAAATCACTTAGTAGTTTGATAATAGGGATACTTTAGATCTACTGCATATTGACCTTATAGAAAACAGTCTTGACTGGCATTTTCACTATTGTAGACCTTTGCTAAGCATTGCTGTTTGAACTGTGACATACAATAATGTATAGGCATTAACTGAAATATAGCAAATACAGTCTGTAGTCGGGCTAATACAACAAACAAAACAAATACTTGCTTACCTTTAATATATTTTGCTTAGACTTTCTTTTTTGATAAATTCTATACTATAAATCCATTAGATCCCAGTATTATGATTTTTCTAGAACATCTTTTGTTGTTTTGCTTCCTTTTAGCTGCTCTCATGACCCAATGGCTTATTTTCAAAACCAAGTCACAATTCCTTTCCTAGATAAGATAGTGCCATTTACTGGCACCTGACTATTGACTTCCCTATCCTGCAAGTCACAGAACTCATTCTGCAATGCACTGTCAGTTACACGATACTGAACTCGTGGACTAATTCCTAAATCTGAATGTCTAAGACCAAGCACCTAAATAAATTCCTGGATTTTTAGAGCCAGTCCTACATTTCATACTGAAAGTTAATAGGAAGAAGATATTTTGATTTCTATAATTCAGGGACAATTTTCTCTCATTTCTTTTTAAGAGTTTTATATTTTGCAAGCAGTAGAAATGAAGATTAGAACAAGACACTTATGGAAGGAATCTTGCCTAAATCCGCTACTAACCGATTATAATTATGATAGAGTGTAATGGTTTGCAATTCAAAACCATTAAAAAAACCCCATTAAATACAAAATCAGTCAATGAAAAATGTGCAAATGTATTCATAGCAAATGCAAAAAAATTCTAATTTAAAGACAGCACTTGTGTTCTTATAAAATGTAGCACAACCCCATTTAATAATATTTAACTAGAAGTTCAAAATCATTTTAAATTACTAGTCCACTGACTATCAGATTAAGTCCTAGAGCAGCACCAAGGATGATGACCCACTATTTCACAGCAGAAGTCACACTTCTTCTTCCCTGTGACTGACAAACCAGTAGCGCTGGTCTGAGTAAATCCAGGGTTTATCCTTGCAACCCAAGAATTCAATGAAACTGAAATCAGCCATTTACTTCTTCACATCCACCTACTCGCATCCAAAATATCCCCAGACATTAA